GTTTTTACGTTTCACAAAATGCCGTCGAATATATATTTGATAAAACGGCATATTTTATCATTATTTATTATTTTTTTTTTTAGCAAAAATCAATAGTCCCATGATGATTTTGTTCATTAATTCTAATGGCTATTAATTTCAAATATATATTTATATATAATATCAAATATAATTCAGAGTGATTTTTAATTATTTTAGTTAGTCCTTTTCGGCGTATTTTGTCACTATAATAACGGGATTATTCAATAATTCGCTCGATAATTACAGTTAGTGGACAATGAGTGTACGTCATCATTCCCTTTCCATCTTTCTATTCGAAAGATTAAATTACAATTCATTAAATATCTGTGATTTCACTCGATTACTAATTGATAGAGCGTCTCTTTCAATTAGATTTCTCTCTCAACATTGATACTGTTGTACATAGGGAATAAGCGTAATCATCAGATCAGTTACTATTTTCGTTCACATTACCGGCAGTGGATTATTTGATATCTTTTCTAGGGTTCGTTTACTGTAGTTGAGTACTTCAAACAGTATCTCTGAATTGATCTTAACGACATTTCACCTAAATAGATAAGTTAAATGCATTGGAATCTTCACTGGCTTAGCGTCTCGTATATTGTAATTAATATAATGACGATCATATTCAATATGGTCTCTGATTATTTATCAAATTATTTTCATCATCGAACTATGTTGTCAAAAGGTTATTGGTTATTTAGTTATAATATTTCATGGTATAAACAGCTTCGTAATTATTCTAGTATCGAAATTATAAACATCCTTCGCTTGCGTATTATATAGTCAAATAGCATTTTATTTATATTCAAAAGTAAAAGGTTAAGTAATTTTGTTAATCGTGAGTGATATCTTCTCAACTTCGCAACTTCTCAGCTTAGAATAGAATAGAAATGCAGTATAATTGTATATAGATACATTTAATATTCCGTAATTATTAATAATACTAATAAATTACAGTAATTAAAGTAATATATAAAGAATTGTTTTTATATAATATAACGATTGTTTAATTCTCATAATTGTTATTATATTGCTTTTATCTTAAAAGCCATTGCATGTTTATAATACGGATTTTGTTACATTCAGCTTCATTCGAACATCATAATTGACTTAATAAGAGTATTTCAATGTACTTATAATTTATTTAACGACGCTCGTTACTATTTTAATTTTAATAATAATTATACGTTTATCCTGTTTTTACGTACTTGACATAAATTACTTATACGAATTATAATTTATATAATAACAAAAGAAATTTTATTCTTAATTTTGCTAACTTTCCCATTAGCCATTTTTATCTGATTCGAATTTTTCAATAAATTAATTTTGGATCATGCGTTTATCGTAAATTCTAATTATTTTGAAAATTAAGCTACGCAATCCAACTTAATATAAATAATAAACATTAATATATTCAATATACCCATATATGCACATATTGTTATAAATAGTAAGCTCGTTATAGGATCATTAACTATATTACGAGAAAGAATCTGTATTCTATAATAAGCTAGAAATGTTAAATACTAGTGAAGTTATATAAACATAAGAATTTTAATATTAGCAATATTTAACTAGCGCTTTTATATTTTAAAATAAACCCTTTGAAGTTTGTACAATAATATTAAAGTTGTTCGCCATTTTAATTATCACTATTCAAATATTTTATAGCTATATAAACACAGGCAAATTTAATATACAACTCGGGTAAATATAATATGAAATTGTATAAATATTAATATTATCGTGCGTTTTCTTTAAAGCTTATATCGTCGTCGTAGCGGATAAATTGATTTTTATTAAATGACTAGTATTTTTAATAAAAAAAAAAAAATATATATATATATATATATATATATATATATTATTTTATCGCTGATTTAGATAGTAAAATCTGGTGAATTAAAAATTAAGAAAAATATTTGTCAAATTTCTAAAAAAATATAATTTATTTTAAAAGTCGAAGAGAGAACTGAAAATTACAGATAAAAACAAAACTGCCTCCTGTGAGGTTTGAACTCACGACCCCTGGTTTACGAGACCAGTGCTCTACCACTGAGCTAAAGAGGCCTCCTGCCCGTCGAACCGAAAATATTGGATATATCCGGCATCACATTTTTTTATAATAATTCAATTTAACATTCCCGCTTTTTATTGGATGATACGATGCGCAAATTTAAACGTATGTGGATCATTTTTAAGATAAATCTATGAGAATACTCGAGAATAGAAATAATCACTAAAGATATTAATTTATGAACTTATTGGAGGGAATAATGATTAAGACTTTAAAAGAGTCTTTATTTATATTTGAGAGATAATTAAAGGAATTATTTCCTCAATTATGTTTCAATACAAATATATTTCGTTAAAAAGTATGTCTTTCATTTATCCGAATATTCTGCTTTTATTTTTATTTCTATTTTATGAAATTTATCTTTACAAGAAATTATCAAATATTATTTAAAACTAATGCTAGAGGTAATTCATACGAATGAAATTAGATTCCAACATTCTTTGAGTCTTTTCACTTCAAAGCATTCTTCGAAAAGTATTTTTCGAATAATAATGAAAAACACATCACAGTTTATGAATAATAAATTTAATATTTTCAATTAATTGGACTAGAATGTATTTGCTCATAATTTGTCAAAGGATTTGCATTACGTGGTATGCACAAAAAATCATGCTATGTGGATATGAATTGGGCCAATTAGGAAAACTGGTGTGTTTGCCTGTGCATATAGATATTTTGAAATTCCGAAATTAAATCGACGACAGTCTTTATATGTCTACTGATTTTAAAGCTATTTATCAACTTTAATAATTATATATTTTACAATATAATTTGTATTTATAAATTATATTTGTGTTTTAATTTTGGTTAAGGAAAATTGGCAAATATTTAATTTAAGAGCTCAGCTGTACATTTGTAATAAAGAAACGCAAGGGTTGAAATAAAAATATATTATTCAAAAAATTCCTAGTATTGAATTTATTTAATTTTGAGTGATTTATATTAACGTCGTTGGTTAATACGATTACAATTTATTAGTGTAAATCTGTTTTCATTAAAATAAATTAAATTTATTTTTTACATATACTATATTTTTTCTAATATTTATTTGTGCATCGATGATATATTTACGACTGTTCTTTTTTTTTTTATTAGTTTAGAGCTATCGAAAGAGAAATTTCTATAAAATCGTTCATTTCAATTGCTAACAACACTATGTTATTGAAATAAATATATTATCACAAGTAAATAGTAAAGTGTATAAAAAATATGCCTTTACTTTAACAGTTGTAAATATAATTATTATAATATATAGAAAATATACTGTATATAATAATTATAATATATATATATATATATAATGCATGTACAAAAAATCATCAAAATGTTTATATCACATGAAGTAGTATTCAAATTCAATCAAATTAGAAAAGTCAAATTCAAAAGCGTTCCGCGCAATCAAAATTCCAGTGAATAAAAATTTATTCATGTAATAAATTTTTTCTGGAACATGAGCTTTTCACTTGTTTGTTACATAATATAAGAATGTCTATTAAATTTTTTTAGCACGATTACATTTTTCATCGCATAGTGAAATACTTTTACTACATTGCAAACAAAAAATTTTAGTTATATTTTTCAATTATTATTAATATATTATCAATATTGTATTATCAAAGTTTATCTCATAAGAAAAAAGTCATTTAAAAATCAACAAATTTTAATATTCTATTGTGCTTTATATATTTCATAGTTATTAAAACTTAATCTCACGATGATTATATAAATAAAAAGATTGAAAAATGAAAATATAATATTTAATTTATTTACCTATATTTACATATATTAAAAATTGTCTAATTTCATGCATTTTAAATGATGTTTAATCAATCCACTGAACATAATCACATCATAATCTATGAAAATTAATTTTTTATTGACTCCAATTGATATTCTTTATTTACGTTAAATCGACAATGCATAAATTGATAATAAGGAAAATCAATATTCTTATTTTTTTATGTGTATATAAAAAATAATTTTGCTCTTATAAAATAAACTTAAAATAATTAGCATAGGCAAGAATAACTAAAGTACAAATATGATGATTGAGAGAGAATAAAATATAATAATCTGTAAATGAAAGTCGTATTAAAATTAAATTTAATAATTTAATTAAACTATTGAAATTATAAACAAAAGTTAAAAGATAAAAGAAAGGATTTAGTTGCATTAGTTCTCTATTAAATTGAACTCAAGAGAGTTAGATTTTCATCGAAGATATACAAAAGTAATTTTTTAATATTTCTTAAATTATATAATTTCTGTTTATTCATTATAAGTGTAAAATAAAACTGTACCAAGTTAATATTTTAAATAATTTTTAATCAAATAAATAAATTACTTCTTGTATAAAATAGTATAGACTGTATATAACATAGAACATACAAAATTTTAAAATAAAGTTAATATTTTAAAATATAAAGCTATAACAGTAGACTTACACGAATATAGTTATACAATGTCAATTAAAAATATATTTTTATTATTTTTGTATAAAATAATATTGAATATATATATATATATATATATACACATATATTTGGAACTGATATATATATATATATATATATATATATATCTGTAGTAGAAATGTAATAAAAAAACTATATAAATATGTATTTATGTTGTGTTGCTCAATGCATTTGTATGATTGTAACCGTAATAAATGCTTCTCTTTAGCTAATTTTTATCGTTGTTTTTTTTTTTTTATTATTCTTTATGTTTATTTATTTTTATTTATTTCATGAATTACAATGTATGGAAAATGTAAATAAAATGAGATCGCCAGAGAGCCAATATGAAAAAATTGAGGAAAACGAGAAAGAGGGTGCTTATGTGAAACTATGTAGGAGAGAGAAAGAGGGAACGAATGAAGGGTTAAAAAAAAAAGCGGTTAGAGTAGAGCAGCAGCATCTCGAAGCTCAGATGTACTTGAAAATAGTTTTTCGAATAAATGTGATTTAGAAGGATAGATAAGTATGTACATAGATGCCGTCAAAACGGCAAGATCATTATAAATGCCACCGAAACAACAGAGATTCAGATCGCGGTTTAAGGTAAAAATAAGTATAAAATTAAAATGTAAAAATTTGATATTATCGCATTTCGTTTCCTTTTTAGCGATAAACATGTTAATGTCAGTCAACGCGCTATAATAGGTACACTTTAATGTACTATTTGTTAGTTAATTATGTCAGAAATTTCTTTTATTACGTTTCCTTTTGTGTATTTATTTGAAAGTATAGATATTTATACTCTTAACATAACCTATACATAAATTTACACACCCATTTTTTTTTGTTTCCCTCTTTTTTTCTCTGCATAATACGAAATTCTGAAAAATGATGTATGGATAGTAAATATATTTAGTATACATATCGATAATAAATCTTATTATGACATTTTATTTTTATTAAAATAAAAATTGTGTAACATGTCTGTTTTTACATTCTCTGATTGAAATTTTAAAATTTTTAAACTTAAATAATAAGCATTTAATTATCGTATGATTTTTTAATTCCAAAACTTAAAAGTCGGTAATTCTATAACATCATTTAGTACATTATAAAAAAAGTCCTTTAGTATATCATATAATTAGATATATTATTATCTTTGTTTTGTACACATGCAAAAAATCATTTTTAAGGTTGGAATGAAATTGTGACTAGTTAAAAAATTATTTTTATATTATTTTGAATGAAAATATGTTGTATATATTTACCATTAGTTTGATTTTACTATTTAACTTGAGACCGTAACTCAATAGTTTCCAAGATATTAAAAATATTTAAAATACTTTAAATAATAAATTTTCCAAAAGTTGTTCAATTACTTTAAATTTTTATATATATTTAGTTTTTCATTCAATTAATTATTACACATTTTATTTTATATATATATATATATATATATATATATATATATATATACATGTAAAAAAAGTTAAAATAATAGAATATAATTCCATTTGATTAAAATTTCATTATGTCTATGTATTATGTATAAGATCGATTTAATAATAATAATAAAAAAAAAAAAAAAAAAAAAAGGAAAAAAAATTTGCCGAATTGCTGAACCAACAATTTTCTAAAACTATGACAATTTTGATTCTTCAATCACAAGTATTATTATATAATATTAATATATAATAAACAAGAACTCTATCCTTAGAAATAATAAATGAATTTTATTATTTTTCAATTGACTAAGCTGTAATAGTTTTTAATAAATAATTAAATTATCAATAAGTTGAAAATTATTTAACATATATAAAGCAAGTGCTTTGCATAAGATTTATAATACAATTGTAAATTAAAATTTTATAGCATAAAATAAAAATAATTAAATCTATTTTTAATTAATCCAATTATTGTGATATATAAATTTTTTTATTTAAATTATAATTCTTAATTAAATTTTTAAGAAATCTATAAATTAGCATTCAAATATATTTGTGTATTCGCATATTATTGTATATATTATTTTATATATTATTGCACATTATACTTGTATAATATATAATATAATAAATTACTGAAATTATCAATCGGAGTAATGTGTTTTTACTATAATTTATCATTTGTACCATTCTATAATATCATTTTATTTACTAGTATAGTTACTATATAGTAATGATATATTCGTTTATTATTATAGGTGATCACTCCATTTCGATCCCTGGTTTTGTGTGGTGAAAACAGGCAAGAAATGGAAGAGTGGTTAGATGTTTTCAAAAATGCTACTGAGAATAGACCTGTTGCTGATGCAGGTGCTGCAGAACTTCTTGGTGGTCATCATCAATGGTATGCAACCAGTCATGCTAGGCCAACATATTGCAACGTTTGTAGAGATGCTCTATACGGTAAATAATTCACTAAAGACCTACATTTCAATGTAATTATTTTATAATACAAATTCGGTTTTATCATACTTTTTTTAATAATTATGTTGAAATCATAATAGTTTTTTATTTAAATTTAATTTTGTTCAACGTAAATATTAAAATATAATGCCAAACATATTATTCTACTTATCTTAAAACATAGAATAGTTGTATTTATTGAGCATTTTGTATTGTTTTCATAAATTTCAATGTAAATTGTTATATAAACAAAAATTTTCCAGGAGTAACGTCTCATGGATTAAGTTGCGAAGTTTGTAAATATAAAGTACATAAGCGATGTAGTACGAAAGCAATAAACAACTGTAAATGGACCACATTAGCATCAATCGGTAAAGACATAATTGAGGACCAAGATGGAGTGAGTATTTTACAATACTAATAATTTTTCATTATTGTTTTAAATGAAACTGGTAAAAATATTTATTTTAATCTTCAAAATTTGTTTTATAATCTTAATGTTCTAATAAAATAATGAATTATCGACTAATGAATATTAATCTTTATTGTTTGTAATATATCATTAATTAATAAAATAGTTGAACAAAGAGAAAATAAAAATTTTCACCTTTACTATTTATGATGTTAGAACATTACCATGCCTCACCAATGGATGGAAGGAAATTTACCAGTAGCTTCAAAATGTATAATCTGTGACAAGACTTGTGGTTCTGTTTTAAGGTATTATTATTTTTGTAAATTAAATTATTTGATTATAATCAATAAAATTTTAATGAAATACATTTACCAAGTAGGTTACAAGACTGGAGATGTTTATGGTGCAAAATTACAGTACACACAGCATGTAGGCCTTCTATAAGTATTAAATGTCCTTTAGGACCAGCTAAATTGAGTGTAGTGCCTCCAACTGCATTGCATTGTATAGGTAATATAAGTATTTGTGAAATGTGAAAAATGAGAAATAAAAAAATAGAAAACATAGTGATTTGACTATGTTGAATTTATAGCTCTATAAGGAAAGATTAAAAAAAAAAAAAAAATTTATATATATATATATATATATATACATATACATATACATATATAACATGTGACGAGGCTGAGCACTCGTCACGAACCGACTATGCGTACATCGTTTATGGGTGGGTTCTGGATACAGTGTACAAATACGATGTATAAATGCACGTTAATATGTATGTAGCACGAATTTACGTAAGATATGTGTAATATTGTTATATCTCAAAGTATGTATAATATATGCAAATGTACGTGCGTGCTTGTACAAACGGAAACGATGCAAAGCGATAGTACGTCCGTGGAGTAAGGATCTGTACGTGAGATGCCTTTAGAATGCATTATCTGAACGTATGATGTAGTATCTTGAAGCGGATTGTCGGAGGAACGATGCAATTATCCATCCGCATGCCAAACTATGCACATATAGTGCATCGCGAACGGTATTACATGAGCAGCGATTCACTTTGGAGGAGGGATACGTGCGCTGATATTATAAGTCAAGTCGAGTGCTTATTTGGAATAGTTATTTAATCACCATCATGTAGCATTGATCGCCTTTCCACGTGTACGCAGATTTATATATTCGTCCTTTTCGTATCCTAATTTTGACTATCAACGTGCTCTACTCCTATTTTTAAAAATACTTTATAAAAGACAGTTTTCATTCAGAGTTTTGGCCTTGAAAGATTCTCTTTTGTTACACGATGGCGCGTCATTCAAGTTCAAAATTGTAGTCAGACTACAATTTTCCGAATATTCATTTTTCTCATTTTGATTCCTAGAATAAATCATTTGATGTATTGTAACCTTCGCGCTACACTCCTTGCACATTGTGTAATTCATCATATTCATCTCTTTAACATTCCGATTATGTCTACTCAGTGTTCACTTGTGCTTGCTTACAGCCGTTAATGCAATCCTCTGCACTTGAATGTGTTTTTCAATATTGATCCAAGGGCTAATATTTATAGAATATGTATTTATAATTGTTCATTTTATTTATAAATATTTTTGCTTTTTAATTTGGTAACGGATTAAGTCTTATTTTAAATAAGAAGTAGCAACTCTAAAAAAATATATTTCTTTCAATTCAGGTTACTTTTTTACTTAAAACATAAATTGATTGATAGATTTTTAGATATTTTTAATTTTTTCAACAACCATCACTGTTTGATCTCAAGACATTGTGGTTGGAGAAAGATTCAACGCCTAAATATTATATTTGCATATATTAGATACAATTATATTTGTTAATTATTACTTTTAAAAAGATGAATAATAATTAGGCTTTAATATTTTCCAAATAATACTTATTAAATTTATATTAGTAAATAACTTATTTACTATTTATAATTTAAAGATTATTATAACAACAAAATAAATATTAGAAATAATTTATTTTAAAGGTAGTGATGAAGCATGGGATGCTGTTAGACCAGTAGGTTGTAGTCCACTTTTAGTATTTGTAAATAGTAAATCTGGTGATAATCAAGGAATTAAGTTTCTCAGAAGATTTAAGCAGTTATTAAATCCAGCTCAAGTATTTGATCTTATTAATGGTGGACCTGGTCCAGGGTAAGATTCTATTATTTATTTAAATAATTACAATTCAATAAAGCAACAAAGATTTCACATAAATTTATCATTTAAATTTTAAAGTAGCTTATAAAACATTTTAAAACAATAGGAAAATTAGATTATTTGACATACAGAATGTTAATGTATAAGTAAAATTCTGTACTATTGATAATTGTGCAATGAATAATTAAGTGAATATGAATTGTAACGGTACATGTGTACGTTTATTTTAAATACTTTTAAATACATTGTTGGGAAAATATAAATTAACATTAATTATTAAAACACTCAGGCCTATCATTTATATACATTTTTATTAAAAAAATCGTTATTGTGTAAATACAGACTGAGGCTCTTTCGGCATTTCGATCCTTTCCGAATTTTAGTTTGTAGTGGAGATGGATCTGTTGGTTGGGTACTTTCTGAAATTGATCGATTGGGAATGCATGTGAGTAATTTACTTAATGTTCACCATTATTAATTTTTTTGTTACAAAAAGGCTAATGCTATCTGTACGACAAATATAACTATTAGAAACTTAATATTTTTCGATATTCTCAGATATTTATTTTCTTAATTAATCAATTAATCGTTTATTATTAATATTAATATTTATATGAATACCAATACTAATATTGTAAACAAAATTTATTAAAATTATATAATCAAACTTTCAACGAAAAACTAATAATTAGAGACAGTTAGTATTAGAATAAATAAACTAAATTTAAAATTATAATTTATAGAAACAATGTCAGGTTGGAGTATTACCGTTGGGTACAGGTAACGATTTAGCGCGAGTACTCGGTTGGGGTTCGTCTTGCGACGATGATACGCATTTGCCTCATCTGCTCGAAAAATATGAAAAAGCTGGAACAAAAATGTTAGATCGTTGGAGTATCATGACCTTCGAGCGTAGTATTTCCTTACCTTGCCACAAAATACTTAATCAGTCGGATGTATTGCTTAACCAGCACATGGTGCACGAATACGAGGATAGCGTTATGATGCACATTACTAATATATTGCATTCTGATCAGGAGGGCATCGTCATATCTAGTGCCAAGTGAGTTTTTCACCGCTAACATACACCTTAAAACCAAAAATTATGCTCGATAGTACATATATTTATAACACTGTTTATATCTTATAGAGTTTTATGTGAAACTGTTAAGGATTTTGCAATACGTATATCAGAGACGAGTCTAAGTACGGGAGATCATCAATTAGGAGAGAAATGTGAGATTCTTCAGCAAAAGCTCGATCTTTTGTTACGTACGCTTCATAATGAAGAGAGCTTTTTATCAGATAACGGCGAAGATCTTAGTACAGCTACATTGAGATCTGATAAATTTTCCTCGATTTCTTGTTCATCTACAGATGATCAAGAGAAAGGTCTACTCGAAAAATCAGAAAAAGAAATAACAAATTTGAGTAGAGTGCGTATGAAGAGGAGAGGTTTCGAAGAAAATCAGGCTATAATATCTAGGTAAAGAAACTGGATAGTGTTTCATTTTATTTAAATAGCCAGTCAAATCAATATAATAAAATAATAATTTAATAAAGATAAAAAAAAAGTACACCATTTTATAATACATGTCGAGTTATTTTTATAATCTTTATAACAGGGCTAACAGTTTGAAAAGAGCGATTCGCCAATTAGTGGAGCATACGGAGCAGGTCGTCGATGAACAAAATAGTGCGGGGAAGGCATTGAACATAAAGATAACGAGAAGCAATGGAAGAGAATTAGACGGTATGTTTAAATTAAATTCTAGTATATTCCGTGCAGATTTCTTCAATCAGCTGATAATATTTTAAAGATCTTAATAATATATATATATGTATATATATATATATAAATTGTTAAATTTAAGTATGATGATGGTTGCAACGGTTGCAATGAGGATTAAGAATGTTTTATAAAACTATTCACTAAAATCTTGAAATTATCCCACTTTTGCGAATCATAGAGAAGAGGGGTCAACAAAATATTCTTGAAGTTCGAATGGAAAACAGCAATGAAAGTTTGAGCGTAACACCAACTCTTGAGTCTGATGAACCATCCCCGTGTTCATCACCGACGCCAAATGTTGCGTCACTAAGCCCAATGCCAGATATAAGACGTGATTCTCAGCCAGAGGAAATGCTCACTTTGCCAGCTCCAGATGGATTTGCCGATAGTAGAAGAAATAGTTCCAATTTACTTCAAGGGTAATTATTTACATATGAAAAAAAAAAACAAATTATTTATTATTCGTTTTTAATTAAATTTCTCTTATGGCAAATTAATCTTTATTTTTATACTACAATTATTAAAAACTATATATCTACACAAACACACAACAAAATACATATATGATAACGATAACTTAAATACTCTATATAATTACTTATTTATGTCATTAAATTTTGATTATTAATTTATATATTTGTTATCGTTGTTAGTTAAGATGCATATCATTAATTTATACCACAACAAAATATTAATTAAATAAAGGAATTTTTTATTTTCTATTTAAGTAGAGTATTCAGTTTTGAATCTGTAACTTTCGAATCAGTGATTGATAAGTTGAAAATACAACAGAGGTTGAATCAAGAAAATTACGAAATGCCTGATACAATCGAACAAGAAATTCAATTAAACAAAAAAGTGGATACAGCTGCTATATCTTTAGATGCAAGTTCAACCTCGGATGATACAACCATACAAGTATGTATTACAATTTAATTTACTTTTTAGTAACCAAATGACATATTTATTATTATTAAAAATTATTCCTTAAATTTAATTTGGAAACAATGTATTCCACGGTTTCATGCTGAAAAATCTTAGTAGTTAATATTTTTAATTTTTTTTGTAAAAAATAAGAATTTATTAGTTTAAAATCAAAAAATTTTTTAAAATAAATATCACTTTTGATTTCACTTACAGGATGCCATTATATCACCTGATACAGATTCTGTACCATCGGAAGATATTTCTTCTGAATGTCCTTATACAAGATCATCGAATAGTCATAAAAATGAAACTTATAGAGAGAGTTGTACTAATAGCATTGTTAGTTCAGATAGCGTAATTTCGGATTCATTTGACATTAAAAATTGCGGTATGAAGAACAGTGAGAGTGAAATTGGTAAAAAAATGTCAAAGCATTTTATTAAGAAATAAGCATTGTATTGAGAAAAAAACTATTAAATTTAGATTGCATGGTATCTAAAAATGTTAGAAGATAAATTAAAATGAACAACTTTGTAGACTGCACTAAGCCTGTGACTATTGTCACTTTAATAAATATTAAATATTTAAATTAATTGTGATAAAAGAAATTAGAATACTATTATCACAATTGAAAATATTATCATATTCAAAAACAGATATATTTCTATATATATATATATATATATATCTTAGATATATTATGTTTTCACTTGTGTTTAGTTTATTTGTTCTGGTGTAATATCAGATTAATTTTATATGTGAAAATCATAATTTATAAAAAAAATTTTTTTCTCATAGTAAGAACAATAACATATGCAAACATGCTTAACTATTTTAATTGTAATTTTTTTTTTTTAATTATAATCATGATTTTTCTTAAAACATACTTTTTCAATTTTTTTCTTAGAGTAGATTCGTCAAAAAACTGATAGTTTTATAAAAATTTATATCTGATACTTTTTAGGTCAGATAGATAGTGATATTCTTGATTCAACAAAACCTTCCGATAGTTCTGAAATTGGACACATAGATTCAGCAGAAAATTCTGACTTATGCACAAGTGACATTCTTAATTCAGAAAGTATAATCGATGATTTAAGCTCATTGGGACAAGATTTGATCAGTACAATGCTTGGAGAAAAATACGATTCTGTAAAAGAAGGTTTGGAGTCAGAACAATTGGAAAAGCCTCAAAAATTTTGTAGTTTAGCTCAGTTTGTTGAGGGTAATGACATTGCCAGAAGATCTTTCAAGATGTCAAGAAATACCAAAGTAGGTTGAATAGGTGAAAGGCTTTTCATTTAAATGTCTTTTATTATTCGTTATTATGGTTATTAATATTGATGTTTAGTTTAATGATCAACAGCTTTATTGTAAAATATTAAATTTGTTATCACAATATCAGAAAATATTATATACTTAAAAATAAATGCATTGTTAAGCTTAACATAATACATCCTTTAAAAAGAGGAATAATTAAAAATTTTATAATAAATAATTTTTATATTTAAACTGCAATAAATGTTATATATCTTTGAATTGGTTTAAATTACGTTTTATTCTAATTAATAAATTTTGACTTTGAAAGTTCAATATTATTTCAGAATGTGTTAAAAAGACGACCAATCGAACCATTCGGTAAAATTGCCGAAAATACAAATGGAATTGACCAGTCTAATAATGAAAGTATAGAGGACGACGAAGAGGGAAAGCCGTCAGATCTTCTTAATGCCTCTGTGTGTCGATTTACAGTGACATCGAATTCAAGTCCATCGAATAATAATTCGCCAAAATTTCCACCAGCGATAAGCGTAATTGTCGATCCACCGAGTCCGTCTGTATCTATAAAAAGTAAAAACGAGAATGATTATAATTTCTATCAACTGGGTTCGCATTTTCGTAGATACAGTGGAGAGAGTATGGAAAAATGTGCGTAATAAAATTATTAAATACGATCCTTTTTATGTATACACTTTTCAATATGAAGTATTAAATTATGACAAATCGTTGAATTCTACCTAATAATATCTAATAAGTCTTTTTAAATATTTGACTATTTTTATTTATTAAAATTAAAATCGATAAATTCTCTTTATTAATACTTTTTATGAGATATAATACATTTTAAATACAAAAAAATATATATATATATATTTGATAATGACATAAATAAAATGTAGTAGAAGACAACCAATTGAATTAAAAACCATTTTTTTAGTGAGTGTGGAATTACCAGAAGGTACTGGATGCTCACCGCAGGCATCACGTCGTATTAGTAGTGGTAGTTTATTAAAAGCATCCGAAGTCGTTTCATTAGCAGCAACGGCGGCAAGGTTCGGAGGCTCCAGTTTAAGCTTGAGACATGAACGTACAAAATCTATTGATAAGACTGATGATATTAAGAAGCTTCCAATAATAAATCCATTAGTTAGATTACCAATGTGGCCAAGTAAATTCTTAATAAGATCTTTATTATTTAAAATAATAAAAATAAACTATACTTTAACATATAATTTAAGTATATGGTAAGAAGACCATTAAATATGCATTTAATTTTATTTTAGATGTAAGTGGTGGATTAATAAGTCAAGCTTTACTTGCCAATGCGGATGCTCTTTGTGCAGCAGTTTCTCCATTAATGGATCCAGATGAAACTTTAATGTAATATATATGTTTAACATAATATTTATAAAATTGTAATTGTTTTTATGCATGTTTTTAATAGCAAAAGAACATAGGATAAGAATTATTTGTTACAATTTTAGGGAAGGCTACTTTGAACGTTGCGTTATGAATAATTACTTTGGTATTGGAATTGATGCAAAAATTAGTTTGGATTTTCATCATAAACGAGAAGAACATCCAGAAAAATGTCGATCGCGTGCCAAAAATTACATGTGGTATGGGGTCTTAGGATCAAAACAATGGCTTCAGAAAACTTATAAAAATCTTGATCAAAGAGTACAACTCGAATGTGACGGACAACGAATTCCTTTGCCTTCGTTACAAGGCATAGTGGTATTAAATATTCCAAGGTACTTACAGATAATATTAAATATATTCTATATATTCGTTAAAAACTTATAATTTGCCGATAGTTAACTTGACTAAAAATTTCATGTAAATGTTACAAAAATTACCAATTGAAGTAAATTACAAAAAAAAAAAAAAAAATTTCTATACTGATTTTGTAAGTTCACTTACCGCATCACTCTCTTGTAATTAGGTAGATAGAACAGGTCAATAAGAACAGGTGATTCGATTTAGAAAAGGCTGTGAATTAAATGAAGGAAGAGAGTGTAAATAATATTAATTATATAAAATTAATAATTAAATATAGGAGTGATATATAAGTGCAAAATATAACATTAATTGGTCATTAATTTTTATTTATCAGAAAAATTGTAATTACTTTTGAATTTTTTATATTTTATAAGCTATGTAAAAGGACATAAATATTTTAGTTTCATGGGTGGCACAAATTTTTGGGGTGGAACCAAAGAAGGTGATCTATTCCTTGCCCCGTCCTTTGATGATCGAATTCTCGAAGTCGTTGCGGTTTTCGGTTCCGTTCAAATGGCAGCTTCTCGACTAATAAATTTACAACATCATCGAATTGCTCAATGTCAAAGTATACAGATCAATATCTTAGGAGATGAAGGTGTACCCATACAAGTAGACGGCGAAGCTTGGTTACAACCACCAGGCATTATTAGGATCATTCACAAAAATCGAATGCAAATGCTATACAGAAATAGGGTGAATATATTTTCAAATGTTTGCTTAATAGTAATTTTTTTAAATATTACTCTCAATATAGCAGATGTTAAATAATATTTTAAATAAAAAGTTTCTTCGAAAATTCATAACGCAAGCTTTCGCATTTAATTAATATAATTACAAAATAAAGAATTCAAATTATTTATAACTATATTCATATTTTTTAGGCTCTCGAAACGTCACTTCGAACTTGGGAAGAAAAGCAACGTAGCTGCATTTCATCCATAACGCAATCTTCATCAACACTGAGCAGTTCTTCGCGTTCACAAAGTCAGATACAATTAGAGGAAAAGCAGATTAGTTTAACAGAGGAAGAGATGTCTGTATTACTTGGTTTTATCGAAGTCGTTACAACTCTGGTCAAGTGGGTAAAGCTTTTGATCATTTCTCATCCAAGTTTGGAGCCAGAACTGTATCAGATAGCTGGGCGAACCGCTATTGCCCTAGAAAAACTTCACCCTGATGGAAAAATTTTACAAGGGGTATTGCTTAGTATATTTTTTCAAATTAATACATGAATTCTTAAGTGTGGTAACATTTTGTAATTATACATTGTATTTAGCCGAATTTGAGACCAGTTGTTACGGAAGTGGTTTCCAGTGCTAGGCAACTTTATGAAGAATCCTGTGAACTTCTTCGAGATAAAGCTCATAATTTGGTATATTATTTATTTATTGATACTTTAAATATCATTTACAATTTTAGATAAAAAAAAAAAAAAAAAACACTAACTATTAAAATACTGCAGAAGTTACGTGAAGATTTGGAAAATAAATTGTCCATATCTTTAGCAACGATGGAACAAGAACTACGTAAATGTGTATTTGACGAACGAGGTTGTGGACTTGTATACTTACATAACATTCCTGTAGATGAACAGGTAATGTGCATAAATTTTGTGATAATTAAAAAAAATTTATAAACCAATGTAGCTTCTTTTACACACTATTCATAATTATTTTCTTTATTTATCGTCCATACTTTGCTGACAATTATTACCTTCATGCGCAAATAAAATATATAAATATTTTAAAAATAGTAATAGTCCTGCAGTGAGTAAAGATTAATCGATTCGTATTTTATTTATAGAACGATAAGAAGAACCGACACCGGGGACTATTCTGGCTAAAGTTTCGTCGTTCGGGCAATAATGCAGGTTTGATATCAGGGACACATGACCCTAATCGCGATCAAGTGACCATTTGGGGTGTACAAGAGGTTTGCTCTTGGTTGGAAAATTTACAATTGGGCGAGTATTCGGAAAACTTTGTATCTCACGACATAAGGGGAAGGGAGCTGCTAACTCTAGCAAGGCGAGATCTGAAAGAGCTGGGTATCACGAAAGTTGGACATGTTAAAAGAATACTTCAGGCTATTAATGATTTGAATAATTAAATAATTTTAGAATAATAATTATCTCGAAACGAATCATTCGCTAGAGAAGCCCAAATATTCAACGAATTTACAATATCGTATGATCTGTGATAAATAATAAAGAAATTTTAATAATATGACAAGCAATTTCTTTAAAAAAAAAAAAAAAAAAAAACATTGTTTTATCTAACAAAAGCTTGTTACATACTCTCGAAATATTTTAAGATGGCTGTGATTTTGTTAGAATAGCAATTTATTTGGGTTTGTTAAAGAGATATGTACAAATTTAATTGCTTATTAAGTAGAAACACGACGTTATTTTAAAGTATTATATTGAATTCATTATAAGTGTAGGTTAAAAATCATATTTTAATTATCCAATTACTGTCATACGAATCGATTTTATTACGCTTATTTATACTTAAACGAATTTTTAATTATTATTGAATTTATTTGTTCTAATACGTTTTATAAAACAAATTAAAATTTTCATTGAATGATGCGAATAAAAATAACTAGTTCAAAAGGAAAAAGAAAAAAAAGAAAAGAAGATATTACAAAACACCGATAACAGCATTCGAAGTATGTTTTTAGTAAACGGTTATAAATAAGTTCTACTCCTATACTTAATAATAATTATTTAAAAATTTTAATATTTATTTTAATAATTTAATAATTTACATGTACATACATTTATACATATTTATAATAATAAATTTGATGCTTAATAAATATTAATATCCTATTACGTATTAGATACATTTACTTTATTATTACATCTGAATATATGTAGTACGATATCTCTATATTTATTTTTAAATTTAAATTATCTAAATATATTTATAGATCTTTGTGATTTAGCTTATGACGTAAAACATAAATATTTTAACATACATACTTTGTTATGCGAAAATGATTTATATAATAAGATATAAGCATAAATGACAAGAAAATTAATTAAAATAGTTTTAAAAATAGGAAAGAAAATTTTATGTGCTTAGATAATTATTATAATACCACAAAGGATTTTATCTACTAATATTAAATTTTAATTACATTTATTTTAATACTAATTAAATGTTTCCTGTGAATATTTTATTCTTACAAATTTAGTTTAATTTATTTACTGTTACGTAATTTGTATGATTACAATTTATGAAAGTAAACACATGTTTATTTAAAATAAAGATATAAGAAGTTACTACTTATTCATATTAACAGTGAAATACAAGTTAGAATTCTCTTGATTATCTGTATAAACCAATAAAATAATATTACAGGCTATAGCTAAAAGGACAGTAATTGGAATTTTTATCTTACTCTTCATCCAAATTTAAAAATCTAAAAATCTAAAAATGATTTATGGATACAATATAAATATTGTGCTTCAATTTTAGCGAATGATTCGTTATGTAAAAGATGACACTATGATTTTTTTTTTTTGATAATGTCATCAATTTACAGCAAAAACTTTACTAACTAGTGTGTAAAATATTAACTTATTAAATGAAACAATTTTAATGTTTCCTATAATTATTTAACTTTTTCTTTATAGGATTCTTAAAGTAAAAAATTTCGAAAAATCTATCTGATAATATAAAATTATTTGAAATTTCGTCTTACAAAATTAACAACAAACTCTTATTAAAGTACGATTTGATATTACGAAAATATATTTATTTAAAATACTTAAATTTAATTAAAAACAATCAATTTGATTAAAATTAATATTATATGAATTTACGTTAATATACGCGTTGTGTATTTTATATTATTTAAAAGGATATAAGTGATTAATTTGAAACCAATTTTTTTTTTAAATAACTGTTTTTTGCAGGTTTCGGATAATTCTTTTCCTTTGTAAATATAAGTAGAGTATATTTTTAATTCAAAAATTGATTGTAGAAAGCATAGCCTAATATTGACAGAAAATTAAGATCAATTATTTAGTTAAATTCAAATGTTTATAAATCTGCAAATTACAATCATAAAATTAACGAAAAATAGATATATGCAAATTAAAAAGAAAGCAATGTTCATAATACAAACAAATGTTTAATTTTAGCTACATACCTACAATTTAATCCAAGTCAATTCTTTCATTGAAAGTCTAATTCGATATATCAGTAGAAAATCTTAATATTTTAATATTTACAAACCTCAATCTATGATTGCTTTTAATTCAATGATAACTATAATTAAATGAATGTTTTTAATTAAATTAGTATAATTTTAATTATCTTTTGTAAATATATTATTTAGAGTGGTAAAAAATGAAACGCGTTAAAGATTTTTCACAATCAATTTGAAAATGTCTTCACAATAATATTACAAATTTTATGTGAAGTCTGAGAAAAATGTTGAAATGAATAAGTATAAAAAATTAGCTTTTTAAATTTATAAGTTTTATCGAATTTATCTATTTAAGTCTGAAAAAATGCAATACTTTTAGCGTATTTGAAATTTCGATAGAAACAATTATGACGTCAAATTTTTTTATATTAAATTATCTGCAGTCTTATTACACTTTATAACTACTACTATTTCTACTATTATAAATACTTATAAATACGATTACTATTACTACCGTTGTTCTGATTATTATTATCGCCGTCATCATCGCCGTTGTCATCATCATCGTCTTCGTCGTCGTCAGCGCCATCGTCATCGTCATCATCGCCTTCATCTTCATTGTCATGGTAATCATCATCATCGTCATCGTCATCGTCATCGTCATCGTCATCGTCATCGTCATCGTCATCGTCATCGTCATCGTCATCGTCATCGTCATCGTCATCGTCATCGTCATCGTCATCGTCATCGTCATCGTCATCGTCATCGTCATCGTCATCGTCATCGTCATCGTCATCGTCATCGTCATCGTCAGTCGTCGTCATCGTCGTCGTTGTCATCGTCGTCATCATCATCGTCGTTGTCGTCATCGTCGTCGTCGTCATCGTCGTCATCATCATCGTCGTTGTCGTCATCATCATGATCATCATCATCACCATCATCATCACCATCATCAACATCAACACCGTCACCATCACCATCACCATCACCATCACCATCACCATCACCATCACCATCACCATCACCATCACCATCACCATCACCATCACCATCACCATCACCATCACCATCACCATCACCATCACCATCACCATCACCATCACCATCACCATCACCATCACCATCACCATCACCATCACCATCACCATCACCATCACCATCACCATCACCATCACCATCACCATCACCATCACCATCACCATCACCATCACCATCACCATCACCATCACCATCACCATCACCATCACCATCACCATCACCATCACCATCACCATCACCATCACCATCACCATCACCATCACCATCACCATCACCATCACCATCACCATCACCATCACCATCACCATCACCATCACCATCACCATCACCATCACCATCACCATCACCATCACCATCACCATCACCATCACCATCACCATCACCATCACCATCACCATCACCATCACCATCACCATCACCATCACCATCACCATCACCATCACCATCACCATCACCATCACCATCACCATCACCATCACCATCACCATCACCATCACCATCACATCATATTGTATCTTGAATTTTTTTTCAAGCTTACATTTAAATTACATAAGCACTTAACTTCCCTATTTAAAAATATTTTAATATTGCATCTTAGTAATATTTAAGAATATTACATTTTATTTGTTTATTTATTTATTTATATAAAAATATTAAAAATTTTATTCTTTATTATTTTCATAAAGAATATGGACTTTCTATCTTATACGTACTTGATTCGCATTTTCGTAAGTAGTTTCATAAACTTTTGTATGTCTTTATGTTATTCTCCTTTATTTTCCGGTACGTTTAAAAAATTAATATATACCGTTAAAATTTGTATCATAATTATTAATTATAACCCTACTGGTTATAAATTTATTGCATTATAACCTCAGCAAGTGCCATTGGTAATAACTATTATTGGTAAAAGGCGAAATAAGAAAAATCGCTCTTTATCGTTTATTATATAATGAGAATCATTCATTAAAGATTACAGTATTAAAGATATTTAACAGCAACTTTATCAGATGCAATATTATATCTGTAATTGTTACACTGTAAACATCCAATTGCATTGTGAATCATTATTTATATTATGTCATACAAAACGGTAATTACGTCATCTTCTTGAGTTTTTGAGTTTGCTGTACATTTTATTTAGGCACTATTGCACTTATAGTATATGTTTCATTTGTGATTCTCAAACATCAATGTTGTAAAGCGCGAATCCATGATTAATTGACGCTCGTTGCCTCAACTGTGTACAGTGCACCTGTCACAAATTCTTAATACCATCTATTGCATTACCAATACATATTAAATAATTATTTAGCATCGAGACTAGCCTAATCTTTGAATAATTAAAGAATTCGGTGTTGGTAGTGAGAAACGCGAATTCTACAGTTATATAACTCAAAAAATAATTTGGAACGTATAAGCATAGTTTTCCAAATTTCTTTTAATGTATCGCATAATAAATACTTGTGTTATTGGTAAATGCACAATGGTCTTTTCTTGGTCGACTCTGTACCTATAGAAATTTTGGCACTTGCTAAGGTTTTTTTGCCATTATAACAATAGTATAGCACTACCTATGTCATTATCACCATATCGTTATAATCAACCTTATTCTAAAAAAATTTACTTGATTACAAATTATTTGAAGTAGGAAAAATTTCTTTAAAAAAAAAATTTTTGTTTTATATATATTTAATGACATTTATACATATACATATATACTATATCGATAACAAATAAACTTAAAATGTTTTCAAATAACTTTAAAAATGAAAAAGAAAATATATATATAAAGAAAGATATCTAAACGAATCACTTCATCATGTTAAATAAGAACGAGGCAAAGAAATGAGCAATTGAATGATTTGCAATAAAGTCAGTATTTTATAATGTTTAAATACTATATCCTGTAAGCTTATCGTATTCATAAAGTTGTTTAAGACTTAAAAGCATGTGTTTTTATTCATTCGAGCGAGTGTCATACGTTATTATAGATTATTCATAGATCGATAAATGCATTCGCAATATA